ATAACGTTGCATACTTACGTCAAAAGTAATCGAATCTTAAAAAATACTTCTTTGATGTTTTTCAGCGTAATGGTAATGTTCCGATTTGAATAGAAACTTTCCGGTACCTCTGAATGGCAGCTCGTAAAGTATCAGAATTGTATTCTCACAAAACAGTATCTGTACAATATTTGAACTCGACAGCTTATCAGAAAGTAATTTAAAAATCGATGACAAAAGTTTAACCATGGCGACAAACAGCATGAGCGATCTAATTAAAAGATTATACAAATTAGATACAAATCCCATCAAATAGACATATATATATATATATATATATATATTACTCTGAATATAAATTATATATACTTTTCTCCCATTTTCATTTAGTTTTATGTACAGGGAAAGAGGAAGGAGAAAAATATTAAATCAAAAGGTTTATTCGTTATTTAACCTACTTCCAAACGTTCCTTTTTTACCCCAGTTTTCGACTAATGAAGCTAACAAAAGCTAAGCAAGAAACAGAAACAAAGACTACATTTTTGCATTTCCGAATCTAATTGCGAAGGGGATTTTTTTTCTTACTTTTCTGTCCCCTCAAATTCTACATTCATTTGAGTTCAGAATCCCGAACCCCCTAAAACGTAATTTTGTATCCTTTTACCCTTAGAAAATTTCGCAACATGGGTTTTAGTTGTTGCTTTGTCAACATTGACTTGATTTAATTCACGGCTGGCAAAAGAGGCTGATTGGGACATGCGCAGTGAAAAAGAAATCATGTGTACTTAATGACGTAAAAAGCTTGATCCTGTTAAAAGGAAAATTTAAAGTTATCTAACGAGCTTCTCGGTTATCCCTGATTATATGCATGTACATCACCTCGAAGAAAAGATGGTCGAGAAAGAGGTGTCATTATTTGTGAAGTTTCGATCTTTACGAATTTTTATACATAAAGAATGAAATCTGCATACATTTTAATGATTTAAATCATGAACTTTTGCACAAGTTCGTTGTTACAATATTTCTGTTTAGGCAGGTGTTAGCTTTTTTAATGATATTTTAGTTAGCGGAATGAAATGAAAGGCCTTTTTAAAATGTAAACCTCGTTAAGTTTTATATAACAATTCTCCACAAACATAACGGTTACTTGCTGTTCTTTTATCAATTATTCCGATACAGATATTGGAACCGTAGACGTTACAAGCTTTTGGAAAGAAAAACATGAAATCAAAAGCAACTCGTTGGAAATTGAAGCAAGGAACTTTCAATTTTTAGCGGAATATGCTAACCACTATACCACAAAAACGTGCATGGAGGAATTCGATAAAATTTTTATTCTCCCTTCTCACTAAATTAGTGAGTAGGGACAGGCATCAGCAAAATCAGTCAAATTCAGTTGGAGACTATAATATCACACAAAAACGCTTATTTAAATAATACAAAAGCAGAATCGGCCTTCATAATGATGCTGGTCAACGATGGTCTACACCTGACAGGTGATTACCATTTAACGGCTATTGTACAGTGATATTAAGTAGTAATCTTGAGTATGCTAGTGATCATACTATCACTAACCGATGGATTAACATCATAGAAGCTTTGTAGCAAATTTAATTAGGTTTTCAAATTAAAATGAAATTGAAGCACACCAGTGCCTTTCAAGACTGTTGGCCATTCTCGACAAAAAGCCTGATCTCTGTTTGGTTATTGGTGATTTATAGGCTCCAGTGACCAATGTCAAGCTATCAATGACCATAGGTCACTTGTGGTCAACTCGTATCATTGATATGGGGTAATGAAGTAAATCTAAACAGATTTTTAAAATAAAATTAAACCGAAGGCTACAACTGTTCCCAACAAAACTGTTGGTTACTGTTGACCTATACGTTAGTCACTGGCAACTCATGCATCATGCTCCCAGGTGGTCAATCCCAGTATCACTGGTGTGGGGTACGGCAGCAAATTTAGATAAATTGTGAAATATTAAGAAAACGAAAACCATTGTTGACCGTAACTAAAGATCAGCAGTAACCGCCCAGGCTATTGATTACAGGTAACGTATGGGCTTTTAGTCAGCACTGAAGAACCGTGCAATGTTGTTTCAATGCAAATACTCGAAGCGTCGGACAGTTACTTGGCAGCATAACACAATATAATGCTAGTGTCTAAAATATTGGAAAGTTTCCTGTAAAGACCTTATGATCAAAAGATAAGTTTTTAAATGCACAGCTTTAGTTAAGCACTACAAAATGAAAAAAAAATCATAATATTCTTAGTAATATATGAAAATAAAATTGGGGGCGCTGATACAAAATCTGTATTCAGATATTAAAAATTATTTCAGAAATAAAAGTGATAATAGGGGTAAAATGCATGTTCAGTGAAATCATTCTTTCATACATTCATATAAAAATTTCTCTTTGACAATTGTGACTCAAAAATCTATGATCACTAGCATACTCAAGATTACTTTTTTAAACCATATATGACAAGAATTTTTTGACAGCTGAAATATTTAATTTTTTGACATTTTTAATATATTCAACTTAAGCAGCATAACTTAAATGCATATCTGTATGTCTATCTATATATACAAAACATGACGAAAAATTTATTGTCAAATTTAATTTTAATTGAAAATAATTGAAAATACACCTTAAATTTTCTGCTTTAAATATAAGTATTATAACAGCCTGCTCTTCCTGCAGTATCGACATTGCTGTAAACTTTTGCCCAATCGCTATCCAGAACTAAAAAAAGAATTTCCAAGCTTATAAACTAGTACTGCAACTAACTAGACTTTCTCTTTTGCTACCTACACTTGCTAGCTAAAGGACGTCTCTTGTTTAGCTGCTTCTATACATAGTTAAAAATGTAGTGCATCATAATCAAAACTGCGAAGGTACAGATTGTCCCCATTATATTGTACCATAGAGTGCTCAAAAAGTAAAAGTAATAAAGATATGTTTGTTTTATCATGCTATTTTGTAATTGTTCAAAAGTTCTCGGCATCTTCTATAACGTAATCAATATTTCACTGGTCTTAACATCAATCCACTTGTTACTGCAAAATAATTTGCTTTTTTTATAGTCAGCCACTCATCTAATATCAAATTATCTGCAACAAACTAAATTTTCATTGCCATTTATTTGACAAGGATAGCATCTGTCTCCGAAATACCTACCTAAACGTCAAGCTCATCTGTGAAGAATGAGATCCGTCTTAAAGAGCAGTTTATCTACACAATTCAAATAAGTGTGTGAACGACAAGGAATGAAGTTTTGCTAGGATAACGAATTTTACTTTTCTTCTGCACCCATATAAAACATCGCTCTTGATCTATTCTGTATCTAGAAATGAAATACCAGAAGATACTTGTATTTAAAGCAGAAATTTAAAGATCTTTTGTCAGTTTGTTCAATCAAGTTTAAGGTATATTCTCGCTCCTTTCCGCATGCTTTCGTGGTGTTAATTGGAAGCATGCTCGAGGGAAATGGAGGGGTCCAGTTAGTCCTTGCGAGGGCATTGCACATTTTCCCTCTCATCTGCTTCGAAAAAAAAACGTAATTACTCTACAACTCGCATCCGAACTAAAAAAGGAAAAAAAATGGTGGACGATAATTCATTTGGGGATTGGGTCCCCTGATACCCAGTCGCCCTTGAAAGGAGGATTATATAAGGTATTTTCATATATATATTTTAAATCGTGTTTAATATAATATTAAACACAATTGTATTAAACACGTAGAACTGTATTCTTTAACCGTATTTGTGAAATTTTAGATGAATGTAGTAATCCGGGAGTAATATTTAAGAAATAAAATTAATTTTGAAAATAAAGGTTTCAATTTCTTCACATATTTAAAAAAGTTTCGTCAAACATTCTATAAAAGTAAAATTTTAAAATTGATTCATATATCCGAAAGTGGCATAAAAGTACAAGATATAATAACACTAGGACGAATAAAAGTTTACTCAGCAGACATAACTGGTCGTCTGATTTAGTTGAAATGCCTGTCTTTTATAATATTTATCAGTAGAAATTTAGAAGATTCACGTAATTAATCTTGACTTACGTGAAAAATTACCTATGACAGGCATTAGCTTGGATATGAAACAACCGTAGAGTAATGGGTTAATTATATTAAAGGTACTTAGTTAACTTCGATCACGAAGAAGTAGAAGATACTTTTATGATTATTGACAGTGCATATGGCTTAACTAGAGCCACTTCAGATTTTAAATTAATCAAAATTTTCATTGATGAAAATGATAATTTCTGTTCTGTGGCTATAAGTTTGATAGATTTTAAAGTTATAAAATATAATGACTAGTTACTTAGCATATATATATATATATAGAGTTATTTAGCATGAAATTAAGGATGCTACTCAGACATGCTGTGTGAAAGAACCAGCTTATCTCTCCAGCATGCCGATTCCGCGCTAGATCACAACCTAAAGATGCCCCGTGAAAGGATTCCGGTGTTTATATGACATCAGTGATGATAGCCTTTCCAGGGGTTCCTTCTAAATGTTCTGGTTTGGCAAATATCGATAAGTTATCCAAGACAGAAACTTTCACACATGTGCTGATACGTATGGGACATCAATTGTCTTATCCTTGACTGGGGCCCCTTAAGAAAGTTTTTGATGGTATTTGCCAAGACAGAAATTTTCAAAAAGGTGCTCGGATATATGAAAACACCACCTTTATGATGATTAGTTTTTAACTTGAAAACAGTTATCTGCACAAAGGCTGTAAAGCATTTCCTTCTTTCTGATGACATGCCATTGTAGTGTACCTGGAAGTACGTCCGGCCAGCTATCGGGAGGACCGAAGTTCAAATTCCGGTGAAGGCACTGGTAATTTTTCCCGTGCCCTGTTTCGCAATAAAATACCGAATAATCTGTAGCAGTAGCGGTCAAACGAAAAACAAATCTAGTGGTGGACGACAGTTTTTCCCTAATGGGATTTGGAGATCGGGCGTCTTGTAAGGCATTTTGTTCCACCTAACCGCGCCTTCGTGGTTTAGCTGGAAACACGTTCGGCTAGCAATCGGAAGGTCCAGAGTTCAAATCTCGGCGAAGGCATTGTATATTATTCCCGTCCTCCGCTTGGAAATAAAATGCGTAATGATTTTCATAAGATGCCAGGAACCTTTTGCTGAGGTACTCTTGTGCAAGCATGATTTTGTTTCCCTTACTGGAAGTAGAAAACTGAAACAGATTTTGCCGAAGGAGAAAACTTTTAGATGTAATTATACTCGAGGTACTAAAATCATAAATTAAACACCTTATGTTTGAAGATTTAGTAACACTTGTCAAGAAAAACGAATGATATGCCCGCGAAAGCATAATGCAACATAAAGTAACTGATGTAACAATTCAAAAATTTTGAAAAGGTTTCCCTAATGACATTTCTAATGTCAAAATTAACTGTTACAGCAAAAGCGAACATTACATCGACTGAAATTCGTATTAGAGGAAGACAGTAAGGAGCTGAAATTGTTTTTATAAAACAAGCTACTTTAAAGAATATTCTAATTTGAAGCGATATAAAGATAATATAAAAAATTCAAACTTTTAACAAAAGTTTTAGGATGTCCTTTATTTTCAGACATTGGATTGGGTCGGATTATTTAAATTACGGCAAAGCACACGGAGATTATCTCTTTAAGGGATGCCTTCATAGAGTAATTTTCAGGGAAATTGGCATGTATACAGGGTATTAATCAGGTAATAGACTGGATTATTTGAATAGAGCAAAACACATTTAGACTTGTTTACTGATTGGAAAAAATAATTTCAGTTTCAAGGAACGCAATAAATGGTTTGGTTTGGTTTATTTAATTATGACAAAGCACACTAGGGCTATCTGCCTAAGGGAAGGGATGCCTTCGTGGAGGACTTTCTAAGGGAAACTGGCTCGTATACACGTTACACATGTGGAAAACCACGAAAACGCCCATGCAGCCAGCCGTTCGCGGGATTCGAACCTCGGACCGAACTACCAGTGTTCAGCGACTTTACCGCTCGGCCGCTTGTGGGCTGAACGCAATAAATGACATTGTTATCAAAATAATTGCGACAGCATTAAATATTAGTAATTTATACTACCGGAAAGTGATTTTTCTTGAAATTAAGCTTAAATATTTTTATGCCAGCCTAAAATTTTATGATGTGAAAAAGTTTCCAAATCACATGCTGAGCAAAAAGACAAGCATTTTATAAATTTACTGTATCAGTGATACACGTAAAAATAACAATAAACTCCAGAATCAAGTATGTTTTAAACAGTTTAAACATAGCTGCACAAATACAGAAAAATAAGCGGAAATAATTCAACATAAAACACAATAGATTCTGATGAATGACATTATTTCCAGATGATTTCCTCATCGGATGACTTCAACAGCTACATTTGCGGAAAACACTACAGAAATATCGACTCGTTTTAATTATTAAACTTTATAACAGCATAAAAAATTCCAAAATGTCAAATATGAGCAAACTCAAAATTATACAACCTGACTGCTAAATTACAGCAAGTTCTGTGTCTAAAATTGTGCAACACAATTAAGCGAATGACAGTTGCATACATTTTTAAAGCGAAAAATCTTTACTTCTAAATAATTAAAAATGTGTACGTATGTATGTTCTATTAATACAAACAAACGAATGAAACAGCGGCACCTAGAACCACTAGATTTTGAACATACATAGTCCTCCATTAGAACATGATAATGGAAGCAACGCACTTCAAAACCCGAATTTTCAATATGCTTTTTATTAACTCGAAGGACCATTAGCCCAGAAGCGCTATTAGTCTCAAAACAGAGTTTTGCGTTGAATCACTATAAAAGTCTATATCATTTTTCAAATTGTTGCCACCAAATATTATCGCCCTGTATGATATTTAAAGAAATTAAATATTGAAGAATTTGCATGAATTTATGCAAGTTTTTCGCATTGTGAAAAAACAATCATACCTAGAGATATCAAATTTTGAATAACGTAGTCCAACATCCGAACCTAGAAGCCCGAATTTTGAATTTCGAATTTGTTTCATTGTGTATTTTGTAAAACTATAACGAATTTAAATCAAGCAATGGCGACATTGTACGGGAAAGAACACCTCCAGCGCCCTAGACTGTCTAACGGAAATTCAGAACGATATGCTGTTTTTAAATATTTTACTGTGTATTTCAAATTTTGTAAAACTTTAACGAATTTACGATTAACACACTCAATGATTTCAAAATGAGCAACGGCAACATTGTACGAAAAAAAAATTATCTCCAGCGGCGCAAGGCTGTCTTTTGGAAATTCTAAAGATAAGCTGTTTTTAAATATTTTTAGTCCACAGGATCATTTCCCCTAATGTTGTCGAAACCTGTATGTAAATGAAAGAAACGCCCTTTTGGGCATTTATATAAAGCCTGAAAGCTTTCAGATTTATTTATTTATTTTTTATTTTATGTTTTGTGCGAACTTGAAAGTTTAACTAACTCAGAGATTTGAAAGCAATGTGTTACCACATCGCAAAACACGGTCTTTCAAATTCAATCAACAAATATGACCAACAATACCTTATTAGATTAATTCAAAAGTCTTGACAAATGGGGTCTTTCAGATTTAATAAACAAACTTAGGAAACTGCGTCTTTCAAATTTAATAAACTAATTTGGCAAAACTGTGTATTTCAAATTTAATCAAGAATCATATTAATGTTTCAAAGTTAATGAAAAACTCAGCGATTTAAGAAACATGTTGCCACAGCCAGAAAGAAAATATTATCATCTTTCACGTACCAGTCCTGCTGTCATTCTATAACTATCTCGCACCAGTCTACTGCCATTCTGAAAAGCATCAGAATGGCAGCAGCCTGGTGTGAGATATTTATTTTTTCTTTCAAATTTAGTTTGAATGTTATTGGTTAACCAACTAAGTCTTTACAATTAGTTTTAATTCGGTTCTTTAGGTTTTATTCTTTAAGTTTACAACTTATCAGACCTCTATTTTCGTAACTGTTGGTCACTGACATATACTTCCAGCTAAAAAAAATATTTCAAGTGACGCAAATATTCATTTTTAGAATTATAAAATTTTAAAAAAATGTTTTGTAAAAATTCCGGAAAACTTTTTATGCAGACCTCCGGTCTCTATACTTATGTTTAAGGAACCTTCATATTCATTATAAAAATTAAAATTCAAAATCCTTGATTGCTGGGCAACAAAAGTTGACCAAGAAATTTAATTTTAAATTTAGAGATTACAAAAAGGTTTCTAAATTTATAAATAAAATACATTTGAAAATAAATTTAATTGACTATCTAGATTATTGTAAAAATATTGATCAACATATTTTTTAAGAGGTCTTATTCACCGAGTCGTATGGAACAGGAAACAATGGCAGATTTCAGCATTTAGCTTTGTCATATTGCCAACACATGATATTATTTGCGTGAATTACCGTTTCCAGTTCCTGTTTGCTAGATTATTAGATAATGATACTAAAGTTATAAAATACCATAAGGGTATTTATTAATAACGTATTTTTAGCGTTCTAAAATTTATCAATTACTTCTGAAAAGTCCTTCGGTGTACCTGTTGTAATAAAATTACATATTCAAGAATTTTACACATATTAAATCAGAAATGAATATCTTTGAATGGTATTTAAGGACAGAAATCAACCTCCAGTATTTAATCTATTTATTAATCTACCCCTCAGTGCAAGGTTAAAATTATGTCAGAATTTGCAAATTTTGAAATTAAATATCTCGGTCAATTTTAAGTATATGAGAGTCGAATAATTCGTTCTTTATGTTTCTCAATGAATACAAAAATTGTCTGAAGTATAAATGGAGGCGTATAAAATGCTACTTTTCGCACTTTTTAAAGTTTAAAATGCCAGTACATGATTACTGCTGTCACAAAACAATTCTGTAATGTCCACGACCAACGGTTGCGGAAGTAAAATGCCGGATAATGACTTCTGTGGATACGGTATATATTGAAAGCTGCTAAAATGAGCATGCTGTTAAAATTTGAAACATTGTCATGCTCATCATATATAGTATATAAGAGCTTCTATCCAAGATATTCAAGAATACGGATAAAACACAGTACCATAAAAATAAGACACCTACATTTTAGGTGATAGAAGTAATAGTTGAATGAAAATAGTAGTTTAAAACAGGAGAAAAGAACTTTAAAGCCATTTTAAGATCCCGGAACACACCTCATATAGTAGGAACTTGCGAAATTTACGGCAGCAGGTCCCAAATGGAACCCTTATGCGATTTAAAATTTCTCTCAAAGGCTAAACGTTTATTTCGAAAGCTTCCCATTCGAAACGGAACACATCACATCAACTGGACAACGTTTATCGAAAGCAATAAGGTAAAATTGCAGTCCTCTAAAAAATCAGCAGGGAAAAAGAGTTGATCTTTCTATCGAAGAAACCCAGGAAAAAATAAAACAAATAAAAAGTTCTTCATGCAATACAACAAATGTCATCGAAATAAAGCCATGCTGTTATTCTACCAGCATAGAAGATCGTTTGGAAGAAATTGAACCGGAGCAAACCGGATTGGCAGCGATCGTCTGAACCCGCATTCAGCAAAATGGCGACGGATTAAATATGATCCGTTTTAATCTCCAAATCCTTTTTCTTCTGACAATTTTTTTTCTTTTGTTTAGCTGATTGTGGATTATTTTGATAGCATTTTTACGTTTGTTTCTTGGTTTCGCTTTCGTGATGAGGTGTTTCTCTTTCAAAGGGAAAAAAAAAAAAAAAAAAACAGATGTACAAGGATTAGGAAATCGAAAGTATTTTTGTTGCAGTTTTGTTCTTTAGCTTCTTGATTTGAGCTTTGGTTTTTATATGAACCAAGTCTGTTACTTGCAGCTGTAAATATTAGAAGAGAAACTTGTGGAAAATTATTTTAAATAAATGACAAGCTTTGATACAATCCTTTTAAGGCATTAAATATTAAAAGTAAATACTCAGAGGCAAAAAATGCTATAAAATTTTTCTTTTATCTTCCGCAGAATTTCTTTTCTTTTAAAGATGGACGCGTTGTAGG